TTTTTTTTTTTTTTTTTGGTACTGGGATGAACTCCGGTCCTTGTGCTTGCAAGGCAGGCCACCGAACCGCTGAGCTAAATCCCCGGCCTGTACCCAGAAGTATTCTTAAATCAAAACCTGAATATGTTTTATGACAAAAAAAATCTGTACCCTTTCCAGGGTCACAAGGAAGTCCTAGGAAAGAGGCTTGCACACTCCAGTTGCTACTGCTTAACCCAATGCAGCGTGTGTTGAGCTGGTCCATTCCACTGAAACACCGTACTCTATTCTCAGTGGATCACTTTCTGCATTTTACACCACTTGCCCTCTTCTTTCTTATCATTCTCCTTTTTTTTTGTTTGTTTCCAGAACTCTACCAGCTCCAGGTTTCTATCTCTCCATCAGGTGATCTGTTCCTTTCCTTGTCCCTGAAATATATGAGCTGGTCAGAGCCCTGTCTTTGGCCTTTTCTTACCCTTTATGTTCCCTTGGAGGATTCCTCCCTTCTCTCATGGCTCCAGTTATCATCTAGCACTGAGGATTTCCCAACATGCATGCACATCTTCAGCGCACTCTCCTCTTGGGAGTTCCAGCTCAAGTATCCAATCACCATCAGAGGCTTCTTCTGGGATGTTCAAAGGCAACTAAACTGAAATAGCTAACATGACACACAACACCTTTTCTGACAGACTTGCTTCTCCTTCTGTGCTCTTTTGTTTAATCAAAGCAAGTTTCATTTGAACAACTGCTTAATTAACTAGGGTGGGAACAATGTCAGAGGAAATACCCTTTCTGCCCTTTTTTTCTTAGCTCCCCAGTTCAATCTTTCAGTGGGACTTGGTTCCTTCCTCTAAATATCTGTGAAACTAGCAAAGCTTTCTCCAGATTAACTGTTGCTACTCTATTCAAGCCACCTTCAAAAGCCTGTGTTAGAGACTTTGACTCAGACTCAGCTTTCCCATCATGGACACCCACAATTTACGGCAGGAGAGGTTTACTTTGGCTCACTGTTTCAGAGGATTCAGTCCACGGTTGGCTGACACCAACACAGAGATAGTGTGGTGAAAGTGTGTGGCGGAGGAAAGCTGCTCACTGAATGGCAGCCAGGAAGCAGAGGTGGGAAAGAGCTGGGACAAGAATACAGCCTCCAGGTGATACCATGGCGACCCATCCCTAACCAGGCCTTATAACCTCCTGACCTCTTAATTCACTGATGACTACAGCATCCCCCAAGATTAGGAGGTCACATGAGATCTGTGAAGGGCATTTTAGATCTAAACTGCAAGAATCTCCAAATTTATCTTCTTGCTTGAAATTCTGCCAGTTTCAAATAGGCTTACTGCACTTCCTTCTGAGTGACTCTGCAGTTCAGCTCTGGTTATGACTCCTGGCTGTACTTGAAACCTTGCAGTGGATCCTCCCTTTGGCCCTATGGACAAAGTTCAAGCTTGTTCTATGGTGCAAGACCTTCATGAGCTAGCTCTCCCTGCCTTTGCTGTATTGCACGAACATCCTGTACTTCCCTCTCCTCACCCCTGTGCACTCCATGCTATCACCACAACAACCTACTTTGTATTCTCATAATATGCAAACCTGACCTCTGAATGTTCGCTTATTCTGCTTCTTCTTACCTAGAATCCTCTTTCTTGCCCAATTTACCTGTCCTATGTCATTCACCATTCCGGACTCAGGTGTGATACCCTGTGGAGAAGTCCTGAGGCTGGACTTGTTTGTTTGTCCCCTCTGAACACAGCCCTCTCTGCTCCATTACTTTCCTCTCCAGTGCAGTCTCATT